TAGTGGCGTTCCCCACCCAGTATAACGTGTATCCAGCACCAGCTTCATGCAGCTTCCCTTGGACAACTGTCCGAGTCTCGCTGAGTGAGGCAATGTCGATCCCATAGCACACGAGTTCCATCGCGACCAGTGCAGTGCGTCGCTAGGGTCGCTAACTCGTGTCCCGGTCGAGCAGGGTGCGCACGTTTCAGCATCCGAGGTTGAGTGTTTTGCGAGGAGGCAACGATTGCGGTGGCAGCACTCACTCGTGTGTTGACGTGTAGGAGGAAACAGTTTGTTAAGTGAAATGGGGATGTGGAGAGTGTGTGCAGAGGAAGATGAAAGAAGGAAGGCGGTCAGCAGTAGCACGTTTTCGCTTATCCACCGTTTAAGCTAATGAAGGGTAGTTGAGAACAGAAAACACCCCAGACAACTTAATGAAATGGTCGATACAAGTTAGTTGGTACACTAAGCCATTGGGTTAAAGTAGAGGACCTGAGAGGTTGATGTACGTCTGGCGAAACCACGCATCAGGTGTCACAAGCGCTCTTGATTGGCTACTTGTGCTTTTGTACCTTCGCAATTAAACACAAGACAATCAATGACATGAGTACGAAAGTTGCGAGTGATGTTACGTCGTCAAAATGCGCGTGCCGTAACAGGACGGAGAGTGCCCGGGGATGTGCAACAAAGAACGGTCTCCTTTAACGATGATAGCGGAATGATTAGTACGTCCAGTTAAGAAGGTACTGTTGACGCGGCCTAGCTCGTAGTGGCACTTCTTGAGCGTTATCTTTAGCCTCCTGAGGATGTTAAAGAGAATAGATACAGATAGATGGATCCCGTTCTCCCTCAGCCGTTACTACAGCTGAACCAATGTCGTCGGAATGCCGTTCAGCGGTCTCTACAACGCCCCGCAGAACGTCGGGACTCAGCTTCTCCCTATTATTTCCTCCACATTTGCGTTGTGTTGGTGTCTTCTCTCCTGTAAACAATGTGGATGTTTTTCTTGCCGTGCTCTAGTTGACATCGGCGACTTAAGCAGCTTCTTGGGTGGTCTTGCCGTCGACGAACACAAGCTTGATGAGAATCTCCTTCTATGCTGATGACGTTCGCCCGTCCCGCCGCAGCCTCGGTGATGCGTACTTTCGTCGCTCGTCCCTCAGTTCGGTCGTTTCGTGCAGCACAAAGCTAATGAAGCGATGGTGGGTTTGGTGGAGTCATGATAACCTGCACTGTTCCGATAGTCGAGCAGCAGCATAGATTCGCCCACACACCCAAGGAAAATACGCGAGGGCCCATAGAAGGACAGAGGCAACTGGGTCACTGGCTTCGATCGAAGTGAACGACGCCCGTGATCAAGAGAAGGGCTTGCACAATCGCGCACTCTTTGCACAGTTCCGTGGCATTCGCATGAGCACAAAGTGTCCTGAACATTGTCCAGTAGCCTTACTCCGTTTCCACTGATAACAAATTGCAGCAGTAAGCCAATAAAGCTAGAGTAGATTTGATGGAGTCATGACAGTCTGCACCATTCCGGTAGTCGTGCATCTGCATAGGTTCATCTACACACAAACACAAAATACGCGAAGACCCATAGAAGGATAGGGGACAAATAGGTCACCGCCTATAAGTTACGGTCCAAGTAATCGAATGGGCCACAGTTTACCTGAATGGGAATCGCGGTGCACCTTGAGAATGCGCATCGCAACCCATTCAAAAAACGAGTGCTTCACGATGACCCTCCTAAGCTACACAACATTTGTTTGTCATAATAAGCTATGCAATTCGAGAGCCAGACTTTACAATAGTCACAAAACTACACAGGCTCATGCATAAAGGCACAGGTGCATAAACTACGCGGATGCCGATGGAGAGAGAGGGAGAAACTTAGTCACCGTCCTTGATCAAAGTTCACGATCAACGGTTTTGCAGTGGCACCCGCTGTGTACACAATTCGGTTGCATTTGTATGGTTAAAATGTAGTCTGAACATGGACCAGCCGCCTTATTCCTCATTTCTTGCTAACAAATTGCTGATTTTCTGCTCAGAGTGCAAGGCGTCTGATTTGGTTAGCATAATGTCCAGTTCGTTTTGTTAAATGTCCAATTTAGAGCGAAAATGGTGTATACTGCAAGTACTGCCGGGTACAGAGCTTCGACAGGCAAGAAAACTATTGTATCGGTAATTATGGAAGAAAGACGGAGAAGTACCGTTGGTAAACCATGTCTCTGTTTCTGAGATGAGGCCTGATTCAAAAAGTGATACCATGTACCGAAGAGTGTGCGTCTTATTTCGAAGTGATTTAATGAACTGTGTCGGAGTAGGTAGGCGTGCCAACTGTTTGAATATGTTGGGCTGAATTTCTGGCAACGAATCCTTATGATCTGAATGACAAAGATTGTGGTATTTGGGGGTAAGGCTGGAGGTTGTTCATAATGTACGGCAGAAGGCGGAAGTATCGGACATGGATGAAGTATGTGATTTTAGATTTTCAAACCGGTTGTCAGAGTTCGCCCTTGTCGACTGTTAGCAGGCGATAGGAAAAGCTTACAGGGCTGGGATATTCATGAAATGGTGTGATGGCACTTACGACGCGCACAGATCATTCGAACACATGGGCGGTTTCGGACTTATTATAAGACAAGAATCAGCACCATCCAAGTGTACTTAATGGGACGGACTAGGAACGAAACTTAGGTCTGAATTGTTTGAGAAACTCCATGAATAGACTAAAGTACTGGATAAGTAGGGACAACATTGAGTATTCTTTCCAGATCTCCTAAAATATAGTTCATTCAGTCTTTCGAGAGCATGAGTAGGGGGGATATTTTGATAATCAGTAGGTTTATGGACTGAACCCAGAATGGAGGCAATAGAAAACTTCGGAAGGACAGAAACATAAGGTCAAGATAATAGTCTACTAAAGAACAGTCTGAGAAATGAGAGATTTTTCTAATAGCACTAAGCTCTCCAAGCAGCGGTTCGAATGTGGGTTAGTCAGTAGAACTAGATCTAACTGGTGTCGGATAAGAATGTAAACATTTAGGCAATATATTGGATGCTTCGCAGAAGGCGATTACAGTATCATGAGCTTAGTAGAGTCAGGGAAACTGTGTTCCCCAGACGGTTTAATGAGCTGTCTGGTAGTTTTAGTCGGTGGTTTTGCATGACTTGGCAATACGGAGAGAACTGTAGACCTCATGGACGTGGCTGTAAGTTTGTAGGGAAAACGAAGTTTCTGAGGATTTGCCGAGTCAGGATTATGGCGGGGAGCGTTCAGTAGAACCCATAATCAGACAAAGCGTAGTGCTGGGCTCCGGATTATGGACCCCAGTTAATGACCTGTTTCTAAGCCGCGTACGAATTGTATGGGGTCTTTTGTTACCGTGGAAAGCCATCTGGGTCACATCCATTGGTGGGGATAATATACCCATCGGTAACTGTCGGTATTGAGGAAATACATGCATCTGCCAGCTGTCATCTTCTTGCAACAACTGACGTCGTCAGTAAAAGGATGAGGTGCGTCGACTTTGATCAAATTTAACAAGTCATTCACATAGATAAGAAGCAGCAGCGGACCAAGAACACTGTCTTATATGTGAGACGAACCGAGAGAGTAAAAGGTTTCACCTACTGTAGGCCTGAATTTTATCTGAGAGACGGCCATAAGGTGCTCGGTAGAAGAGTTTGTGCATGTCCAGTTAAATAGCAGTTGTTGACAAGTCATGACTGTGTGAAATAAAAAGGTAATTCGCAAAATCCAAGTGGCGTGCAGTTCGAGAAGCGATGTGGTTGATTGGTTTTAGGGATAGCAAAAACTCGATCGTCTTAAGCTCGATAGAATGGTCCATCATTGCTTAGAAAACTGATGTGCGACACAAGCTAGCAGTATTTTCTCCTTCAAGTGACAAATCAGGATTGCGATGCGGCTATGCTGGGGCCCTATTTCTACGGGTTAGTATTATACCAAAGTCCTTGGATGGGGCAAATAGATTCACTGATAGCAGCGGTATTTTGTCGACTGCGAATAGATAGGAGAAACAGTTGAAACAGTGAAATAAGGTACTATTGTATATTTTATGGACTCATGTGCATCGTGGAGGTCAAACCAGATCGTGTATGAGATTCCATGGGTCCGTGCGAGTAGGCAAAACAGAAGTATTGATTGAACGCGCTGATTGTGTAAACCGGGTCAGTTAATTTACAAGCATTTGATATGGTTTGGCGCTTGCGTAAGAAATCTCATCGACTTTACCTGACGGATCAGCTATGTAACCATAAGCACTTTCGAGGCAGGACCGTTGGATTTTCCGAAAGTGGTGAGAAAGTTTTTAAGCCTCACGCTACAGCATATGGCATAGGCTCTCTGTCGCTAATAGAGAGCCATTTGTGCTTAAAAAGACCCAACATATTAATAAAATGATGAATTACCAAGGAGAAGTATGGGAATTCAGATGGTGTAAGCAAGGTTCAACATGGCACTGTATTTCCGGAAAAGCCCGCACTGTACGGCTGTTTCATCTTTCTGAGTGTCATCAGCAGTGCGCATTCCACCTGTATCCTGTGGGACTCGAACGCACGAATCCACATTTACGAGTCAATGATTAAGAGCACTGTGATAAGGAGGACGAGAAAGAAAGCCGTGACTAGGTTGCAAGGAGTGGTATGGTGCACCCCACTAACTTACCCGTTGATACTACCCAGTGATCCTGACCACTGACTGGTGAGGTGGAGTCGTGGATTCTAATCCCACAAAGCACAGACAGAACGATGTCGTCGTATAGCCTGTCAATAGAGGCTTCTGAAGCCCTAGTGAGCGAGGAAAAGGCATTACCAGTACGCCGTTACGCAATGCCGAGACTTCGCTGTCGCGCAACCACCACCGATAAAACGTGAGCTAAGGATGCTACAAAGGTTGCCCAGTCCCTACGCAGAGGTTCGAATCTGGATCCTCCGATTACAAGGCAGGCATGTGATCCTTGAGGCTACGGGCCGGCACTAAAAAGCAATGATAGATTCCACTGTGTAGACGTCATAAGTTGCAGATGCGCCCCAGTCAGTGACTATACAGGAAACGAAAGTGCTAAGTGAAAAGCAAAACATCCTGCAATCACCGATGGCGAAGGGCTGCATAACAGCGGAAGAACAATTGGCGAATGTCGTAGGAACAAGAAGGTTAAACTAACCAGAAACCGAGTGGATTTTATGTCAATAACGCTTTAAAACTAACCAAAAATGAAAGCATCTGAGGCGCCTTCGAATGGATATTACAAGTCACTGCCACAGAACGACAATGAACAAGTTAAGCAAGAAGTGTTCAGCGCGTCAATCTCTCAAAACGGAATCAGTTGATGAATACAGAGAATCAGAAATGTGTAGAAGAGTTGTCAAGATAATGATTAGCGAATGGGTGGAGGGAACGGGGTTATACATGAGGTGATCCAGCCGACTCTAAGAGCCAACAGCAGATCAAACTGTTTGGAAGTAAAGGGCACTAGTGGTGCCGTTTTACTGAATCTGTTGGGAGATTCTGCGTCGCCTAACAGCTGGTAAATCAGCTGTGTCTGTTTCTAATTGATCAGGCTCCGTCGACCTATCTCCTGCGCCGGAGTCGATAGACAACTGGCCATTGGAAACCGGTCCTTGTTTATTCTTCTCCAACATTGTTTGACTCACGCCGAACTCGTTGATACGATTGGGGTCCATGGGATAAATCCACCGTTGGTAAAGATAAATGAAGAATATCACATCTGTGTAGAATAGAGAGCAGAGCAGGATGATATCAGATCAGCATCATCGACAACAATTGATAACTGTTATGCAGCGGGAATTGAGTGCACAAATAAAGCGAGTGCTGTTCACGAAAGCAAAATTCGTAGTGATCCGAATCCGCATATGACAGATCCTAATGGTGCGGTGCGGGAAGTGAATAGGAAAGCGAATGAATTAGTGAACGAGCGAATTGATGAGATGCGATAAAAGGCGGTTCGATGATGCACATTAAGACAGGTGATTTGTGAACCTGCGTGTAGTAAAAGGTAGATGAATGCGAAGCCACATGTAGATCCAGGTTGAGTCAGAAGTGGACCGAATGATATAGAGTACAATTTGTTTCAGAGGATGGACAAATAGTGCACTGGGTAAAGGCATCCGACGTTGAGATGAGACAAAAGAAAGTACTGACAATGTAGAGGGGAACATCAGCGCGTCGTTAGCGGACACCGACCCATGTTGCTGATGCGCGTCGCAGAAAGCATTGAGCAAAATCTAACAAGGGTAATATTTTCTCACAGTGCAAATGAGAAGTGGTGCAGAATGAACTGCGTGGACAACATTTCCTGGTCGAGAAATCAGTAATAGCACAAATGTGTTGGGGATAGACGACAATGGAACAGTAACAGCTCGATAGTCTGGCAGCCTATCAGGACTAATACACGTGAGGACGCAGGAATAAACCATCACTTCTGGCTATTTCTCGGTTGCATCGTACTTCACGACCTGGAGTGATCTAAATTAGGAGAACTACGGAACGCGGCAGAACCGATAAGCAGCTGACCGACTAAAAGTAACAACCGAAGACCACGCGAACGATGACGAATATAATGAACAATGGCATTAATGAAATGATTCAAGTGGACAGTAAGGATCGAAGCGGATCAGTTGAAGCAATGGCAGTACACTGGGCTGATGAGCAAAGGAATTAACTCATGCAAAAAAATGAAACCGCTGAAGCTCCTGTCTCTCTTCTACAATAAGAACTGAGAGCGGTCAGTGGTTACATCGGAGCTGTTCTGAACGACAACAAAAAACTACCGTGATCGGTGGTGAATGTCGAAATAGCTGTACGGTTAACATTCAAGTGGGAAAGTTGGCCATGTGGATGCGAACACAGCGTTTACTTCTTCATTACTAGCTACACTGCCCACTCACCACTAAGTACACCTGCTCAGGCTCTGTAGTTACTTTTCATCACATCAATGCTCATTGTAGCTCAGTAAGGCTAAGAATCCCGACGACTTGTTATCAGTTGTAGTAAAAGGTGTTTCAGTTCAGTTACGGAATGCCAGTGTGCTCATAAATATGGAGATGCGTTTGAATAACACCGGTGCGCAAGAAAGAATCCAAAGAGTATCTTCTGATTGCATGCAACGATGTCATGCTGAAATCTTTCGTGATACCACTTATCCACTGAGTTTTACAAGTTCGCAGTCTGATCTCAGCTCGTCTACAGGTCCGATGGCCCACACTGGATACAGCGTCGAAGATTATGCATTCTACCGCGGCTTTAGTAGATAAATGCAGAGGATGATTAGCATTCTGGTCTGTAACTATCCAAACGCCTTCGGAAGATTTGACAGATTTATGCTACTCAACCCTTCTGATTCAGAATGGTGTGCACCCAAGTGGGTGCAGGTTGATAGGTGACTATTTTACAAATTCCACCCTACTCAGCTGAGGAATAAGAGGTCCTCTAATCCTCCAGCTATCTCAGTATTTTTTAGACAGCTTCCCTCCCTCCCTATTGTCATTCACGTTCCTTAGTTTTAAATGAAATAACGAATATGTTTCTGGTAGTTTTGCTTCAAACGTAAAGGCGCAATGCAGAGTTCAGCCTGAATTAGGTGAACTTGTGTTCCGGCGCTTCACCTTAAACGCTTATACACGCTAACAAGCAGCGAACTGTTTTAAACACCTCTCTTGCTGGGTATGGAAGCTCACCAAACGCGAAGCCTATGGTGTCGTTTATTCCTAAAGTAGGAAAGTTTCGTTTCATACGCTCAGACTCGAAATGCCAGTGCATGCTAGGTGCTTATTTTCAAATTCCTGAGTGCATAGGTTCTGATTCAGTGTCTGTAAAGCCCACTGGCAATTCTCTGGCGTGCTTAAAAAGGACTATTCTTTGATGGTGAGATCGATAGAGTGCATTATTAAGTGCATCTGATAACTTATGACGTGGCTTTCTCATCAGCATGTAGTTTGACGCATAGGTCAGTTTTCCTTTAAAGGCTCCAAATGACCATTTCCAATTACTGTATGGCGCTCAATTAAAAGCACGATCTACTTCGTCTGCGCGCTGCAGAATTAATTATATTCTTCTAAACTGCGGCACACAATAATCCCGTACCATGCAAGTTAACACGCCCACTTGTTGGCCCAACGAAAGTCCTCGGTGTGATGCGGGAAATCGCGCTCGGGTGACGTAAATGTGCGCTTTTTCTTCCACACAACGGTTGAACTTTTGGCGACGTGATGTTAGTCACTCGCAAGAGAGAAAGGCTGAATAGGCATCCATCCAAGTGAATGAAACCATCTTTGTTTTGATTAGATTTGAAAAACCATAACAGAGGCATGATGTGCGCTTAATGCATTAATGGGACAGCGCCCAGGTATGCTGTTAATGAACGGCGCGCATGATCAAAGGATATTTCCAAAAGAAGATGCAATCAAATCAGGTGACTGTCAGTGCAGGCCCGATCCCCCTTAAATGACCGAATAACATCTATTCGTGCCAAACATCAGTTGGAGCGTTCAAGCCAGTTGAGAAGCGAAAGCACAAAAAGCAATACTATGAAAACATACCGAGGTAATTCAAAGATCGCACTGTAATCGTTGGACTAGTGGAGAATAGAAGTCAAATCAAACATGCATAGTCGTTAGGAAACAATTGCCATCGAGTACCAGTTATCGATAATCAGGGAGAAGCCTCCGAAACCTCTTGTTACCTCGCAGAGTATTTGTGTCTGACCTTCACATTGATCGACCTGATGTGTACTTTAGTTGAGGAGGCGACTACATGACAATCCCAGATTGCGTACAATAAGCTCATGAAGTGTCGCGAAATAATGCGACCGACAGACCGTTAATGAGCAGGTTGTACTAAAAAATAATGCCTGATTACCATCGTGATAGACGGCAAACAACGCGCTCTAAAGCACCAAAAGATCTCCCACGGAAAAGACTACCGCTAGAGGCTCACAAATGTGAATCATGGTACATGGTTTCTTGGTTGTACTTTTACCGAAAGAACGAAGGTGTATTAACTTCATACAATAAGCCTGACAGTGTACTAAGTACTTCGTCAGTGCAGCAGCTAGTAAAGTCAGAGGTCAGCAGTAACAGTAACAACATGCCCAGTGGGAAATACTAGCAATAGTGAGCCTTTAGGCCACGCGTGGAAGATGTGCAACGGTAAAGAAGGTCTGAATTGTGGAGGGCTGGGTGCGACCGAACGCTACTGTGAGAACAGTTGCTTTGGTTGGGATCACCGGCAGCAGGTGAAATCGAGTTAGCGTAGGTTTATGGATGAGGTCCTATAGATTCAGTGAATCTCATAGGTATACAGCCCCCCGGGTTATTATGATAGGTGCCATGGTGACGCAGAGCGAAAAAGTCTACTTGATTACTAATCGAATGAGGCTCGTTGCAAATAAAAAGTGGTTTAAGATATTTTCGCACAAGCTTTAAATAAAGCAAGTGGCGATTTCGAGCCCATCAGCCCAAAGTAGTCTGAATACCGAGCAAGGTCGTCCCCCGGCCACATATCATTTTCCTTTAAGTGATAGTAATTTTGAGGTGTTACGTGGCAGCCAGTTTCTATCAGATATATCCGGAGTACAGATGGAGGGTCATTTTATCCCACTGTAATTCGTCAGCTTTGTTTATCTCATCTGGGACCCAGAGCAACTACTACAGTTTTGCGGAGCGGTGACTCAAACCAACTGGGTCATAAAGCATGATGACGGACAGCAATAAACGAATAATTTTGGATGTTTGTGAGTAGTGTAAAGTTTTTTGAAAGTAGAAGTCACAATTAAAATTCACGCACAATAATATGCCTCGACGGGGAATCGAACCCCGGTCCACGAATTTCCGGTCCGCTGCTCTACCACTGAGCTACCGAGGGCTGACGATTAGGTGCGCAAATTTTAATACATGACTTCTGCTTGGTGCGCGACGTATTGCCAATGAGCTCACAGTACCTGTCCTGGTGTTGCAGATTGGCTCACCCAACCGTCACTTCCCAATGGACCGAAGTACGTGTAAATCGGATATCCAATGGGCGACGGAAGATTAATTTTGGATGTTTGTGAATAGTTTGCCATGATGCAGAGTGCTCACCCTTCATGGTCATACAGGTCGCCAACCCGCAGTGGATAGGTTAGATACCCAGAGTAAAGATTTCGTCTATCACAATTTCGAAACTTCAAAATGTTCGGAGATACCAAGGGAAGAATAAGCAAGTATTCATCAAACAGTAGTCTCCGCTTTGGATACGGTACTTGTGATCGGGATGACCAAGTTCATCATCATCATCATCATTACACGTTAGCTGCAGGTGGAAAACACCTCAGCTATTGTGACGCAATAAAAAAGACAAGAAAAAAAACAAAGAGGCACATCGGCGGAGTCCCCAGTAACGGGTGGACATCGTTCCGAAGAGCTAGCAGCCCGCTATCGTGCCACGAAAAGAGAGATATATTATGCCTCACGAATAATATCGTGATTGGAGGTGGAATATAAAAGGGAGGAGGTGGACAAGGGAACTAACAACACAAACGCCATTGGGGCCGGATCCAAACCATATCAGAAACGTGTCCAACCAAACGTGTTCATCGTGCTTCGAACCCCAACCAGGCAGTCGAGGTGCACCAACCGACACCAACTTCGAAGTGAGGGCCTTCATTTCTCTCGACCAAGTCATCGCTTGGCCTCCCCTCTTACTCTTCCAACCGCACACCCGGCGCGCAAA